TCCACCAGGGACAAAAAGCACGTGGTCAGCTTGGGATGAGAGGACAGGAGGGGATAGCAGCGCCACAAGAGACGTTCCCAAGTGATGCGTGAAAGTGTTCTGCACCTCCGCTGGGTGGGAGGTTTCACAAAGACTGACTGACTGCTGTCCCCTCACACTGTCTCTGCACTGCATACTGCACTTGGTGTTGCGTTCGGTATCTGTGCTCAAGTAGCTATCCATGTGCACTTGAAAGTTACAACCTGCTGTGAATCCTCCACTCCTGGCCACCCAGGGGTTATCAGCTGAAACTTTTGTATCCTTTAAAGAAAATCATATTGGACATTTTGGGATCATCTCCATAGTCCCTATTGGAATTGAAAGGCAGTTGAAGTCAATCCAGGAAAGAAAATCATCCTCAAATCCATCAGATCTCTAAGTGCTGACATGAGCACTGTGTCTTGAGAGAGAGTGGACCCTTTGGATGGGAAAGCACACTTCTCCCTGTGCCTGCTGCATCTTAAGCATCTACACATTTGCCGAATTAAAACTTCTGATTTATCAAACTCTAACTTCACAGGCAGCTTTTCTGGTTTCTCATTGCTGTTTCTAAGGAGTACACAGATAGATGTGTTCCACTATAAAAGGAAGGGGCCCCGGGGTCTTCTCATCAGAGGTGGTGGTTTGGCTTATGACCCTAGCATTGCGACCTCACTTCCTTGGCGACAGGTCCAAACAGAACTCGGAACCCTGGAGTCACTGGGCAGCACAGTCCAGCGACGGCTGCCTAACAGTCACTTGGCTGGAGAGAGTCAGCAGCGATCATGCTGTGCTGCTTTCCCAGGCCTTGAGGCCGCAGCAATAGGACCCCGCGCAGGGAAAGCACTTGGGCACGAGTGAGAGGATGGATGGCTAAGTCCCCATGCTTCAGGCCACTCACCAGGAGCTGCCTGGCCATCAGGGGCAGCACAGGGCGGGTCTCACCAGACCCAGAGACCTGGGGACCTGAGATGAGCGGGAGCCCAGGGCAGATCTCCCGGGACCTGGACGCCAGACACTCGGGGCCACCGAGTCCAGGACAGGTCCAGTCAGGCCCGGCCACCGCTGTGAGTCCCCGGTGTAAGTCCCGCCCTTCTTCCTCACTTTGAGGAGGGTGGGGGACGAGGTCATGAGGGAGGCTCCTCCTGGGCAGGGGGAGGTGTGGGAGGCTGTGAGCCCAGGGCCCTGGCCTGTGCCCCCAGGACGGGGCTGAGAGGAGGAGAAGGGCAGTGCCCAGGGATGATCCGCAGCCCGCAGGGCCTTCTCCTGTCCTCTGGGGTAGAAGCCTGAGACAGATCTGTTTGTGTTTCTGGAGCACAAGGTTACCCGGGGCAGAAACAGCACAAACTGTGGTCAGGCAGAGCCTTGTGCTTGCTGCCTGCTGCCGGGCACTGTCCCCATAGAGCTGCACACAGGACACTGTGTCACTTCCATCCTGTCATGGCTTTATTCTGCTGTGTCACCTCAGGGCAACTCCTGGCCAGGGCCCATGTGGTACCTACAGGGGCTACTCGACTTGCAAACGTGGCAGTGAGCACAGCCGGGCAGCCTCTCAGGACCAGGAAGTGGGCCTGACTTTTTCTGAGCCATTAACAGACACCAGGGACAGGCTGGCCTTGTAGGAGGCCTGGAGCCAGGCTGAGCCTCGGTTTCTCTCTCCACCACGGGACCTGAGGGTGGGTGGGCTCTTCATGCCCCAGGCCATGACCTCTCCTTGTTAATGAGCCATGAATCGGTAGCATTTCTGTGTGTCCCTTCTGAAATTACCTTCTAACATGCATCGCTTTTCTGCCAGGCCCATTTGTGCCCCTTCTGGTACGAGCCATGATGGCGACTTGCAGAGTGGTCTGGGCTTCAGCCTCCAGCCCTCCTGATGGCCTGGGTGGGCCCCAGTTCCATGTCTCCCCTCTGTTCCATCCCAGATTGGGGCCCAATGGGAGGAGAGCCGAGCAGAGGACTGCATGGTGAGGATGGCACTGGCAGGCATGCAGCACCCCCCCCAAGGGAGCCCCCAGAATGGGACTTCCTGGACAGCCACCCCATCCACATGGACTCCCTCCTGGACCCCTCTGGGGCCTGCATTCCCGCCCTGCAGGAGGGGATGGTGGGAAGGTGAGCTCTGTGGTTGGCACCCAGCGGCACTTGGCTACTGTGGCCCCAAGTCTCAGGAAGGTATGAGCCCTGCCTCAGCCTGCTCGAAACTCTGAGCAGCAGGACCCTGAGAAAATCGGGCTCTTGGCATCACTGCGGGGCAGAACTGGGGTCTCCAGGGCAGTGTTGACCTGGGCCTACCGGATTCCCTTCCATCCCTGGCCGGCTGTGCTTTGCCCCACTGAGCCCTGCACAGGGGAAGGCTGTCTGTTCCCTGTAAAGGAGACCACAGAGTGACTCGGCAGGCCTCTGGTCTTCCCAGAGCAGGAGTCTGTGGGGATGCCAAGGGCCCAGGCCCACTGACATCAGGGAAGAGCAGGTGGGGTCCCCATTCCATGGATGTATGTGAAGACACACTGTGTGCAGACCTTTCCCAGGGCTTGGCTGTGATCACCAGTAGCCAGAGCAGATGCAACCCCTGCCCTCTGGGGCTTCAGTGCTGTTTGGGGTCCTCAGTCACCCTGGACAGCTGAGCAAGCATTCCTCGCACTGCAGTAGATGGCACTTTTCCGGCCTCCCTAGATGTGGATCCACAGCAGTGCAAGAGGAGCCTGGGAGCGGCATAGACACTGGGCAGCACAGCACTGCAGAGCTGAAGCCTGAGGAGAGGTGGGCGGGACAGATGCCCACTGTCCCCCACGTCTCAGATCGTTACAGAGCAGTGGCCCTGTGCCTTTGAGTGTAGCACGCACAGACACCAGACTCTGTCCTCATGCAGCTGACAGTGGGGACGGGTGGGCAGACGGTGTGTTGGGCTGCCCTGAACAAGGCAGAGGTGGTCGCACCACAGAGCATGGAGCCTCCTGTTAGGCTCTCGGGCTGCCTGGGCCAGCACTGCCCCACTGGGCATGGAGAGGGTGGGGCTGGAGCACGCGCAGCTGGGCCAGGAGGCCTACTTGGCCATCTCCGCATGTTCCCTGGACAGGCAGCATGGGAGGAAAGGCCGGGCCTCTCACTCTGCCTCCTACCTGCCTTTCCGGTCCTCCTTTTTTGTCCTCCACTTCCTGGTGGAGCTGCACTCCCAGGAGAATCCACCAGCTGAACTCCTGGCCCAGCTGGAGCAAGCTGAGCCCACTGAGGCACAGCCCACGCATGAGGAGGACAGGGTGTGGGCCTGTGGGCATGAGGGGAGGGCTGGGCCTTCAGACACAGAGACAGCTTCCAGGTGGGTGCTGGGGTTACCTGGGATCACTGAGACCTCAGCTGTCATGGTCTGGGAGGACTTCCTGGGGAGGCTTTGTGCGCAGAGCTGTCTGATGGGCAGTGGAGAGGTGTTGCCCTGGGAGGGAACATGGACAGTTGATGACTTTTTCTTCTCTTGGAACTGCAGGACCAGCTCCAGCCCCAGCTGAAGTCCCACATGTGGAGCCCGAGCCAGCTCCACCTGCAGCTTCCTGCCCAGCACTGGGACCACAGCCAGAGTCCGTGGCAGCCCCTTCACCTGCTGCAGTGCTGGGGCACCCGGTGGTTGCACAGCGGTCCGTGTCACCTCCTGAGCTCCGCCTTGGGCCAGCTCCTGGCCCCTCCCACTGTTTCCTTCACTTATGCTGCCTCTTGTTTTGGTATTTACAATTGCCCTTATTTCTTGGATTTATATAAATAATAGAACTAGCTTTTAATAAAACTTAAAATTTTAGTGTTTAAAAGGGTCAGCGTGGTGGCCTGAAGTGCCTTCTCCTTGTGTGTGCCCATCCCCAGAGCACTGTGCTTAGTGGCTCCTGCCCACGCCCCTGGCCACTGCTCCTCTCTCGTCCCCACAGGCAGCTGGCCTGCAGGGTTCACACCAGTGGAGTCGGACTTGCCTTTGGCCACACAGTCCTGAGAGGGGCTGATGAATCTTGCGCTATGCAGAAGGGGAAACCTTAGAAAGATCCCGGCCATTTTTCATTGGCTTCTTCAGTAGGTAATCCAGGTTGTGTTGCCAGACAGGATGTATTTATCACAGTAAGATAACGTGTGCAGTCTGAATGAAGGACAGGAGAAGGGCACCGTCGCAGGAAACCCACTGGGCCGTGGCCTCCCCTAGGTGCCCCCTCCCTGTCTGCATCTCGGGGTTCAGGCTGTGTCTTCCCTGCTGGGAGGGGGTGTGCCACTCCTCAGCTCTCCTACCATCTCATTATGTGAGTGGGGACCTGGCCTGTCAAGCTCAACCCCACACATTCAGGGCCCTAGTGACACGGTTGGCTCAGCAGCCTCTGCCCTCCTGCTTCCAGGGTCCCCGGTGTCTGTGTCATCAATGCTACTTTTTAGGGTGGAAGCCTGGCAGCGGAGACTCCGGTCATAGTCACAGGAATGGGGCCAGCGATGGGCTCCTTCTGTAGAGTCTGCAGGGCAGAGCATGTCATCCTGGTTGAGCTCCAGGTGACCTCCCAGACATCAGCTCTGCAGGTCTTTGGGCTCACCTGGGGACAGTCTGCTCTGGCTGCTGTCTGTCTCCGCTCAGAAGGCAGAGGGACAGGACAGCACAGCCCCAGCCTGCCTACTTGGAGATGGACGAACATTCTCTCCTCTCTATTAAATTTTACTCTTAAAATATGAAACCACAGAGCATCTTGGACAGCAGAGGCTGGAGGTTCCTGGGGGTGTATGGTCCAGCCCTGCCCATGGATTGAGGTCTTTACAAATCAGTAAAACTTATTTTCAGTACTGGGGATTAAATTCAGGACCTTCTCACTGAGCCACATCAGCAGCCCATTTAATGTGTGATTGTGATTGTCAGAGTCTTCTCATTAAGTTGCCATCACCCAGCCTGGGCCTCCCAGAGTGCTAGGTAGCAGAGCTGCACCACCTCACCTGGCTTCACTGAGCGGCTCTGAAAAACGAATGGATCCTGATGGCTGGGTGTCCACCATTAACGCTTGGGTCAGCTCAGCATCTCTGGCTAGGGCTATGGGCTCCACCAGAGGGGCTGCTGCTCCCTGAGAGGCCAGTGAGTCGCTGCCTCGTGCCAGGTGAGTGATGTCATTCTGGGCGGGTGACCACAGGCTGAGACCTGACCTCCCTCCCACACTGCCCTGGTGTGCACAGTCCCCGAGTGCTTTCCTCCTCTCCGCATGCTGAGCTGGGCAGAGAGCAGGGTGAGTCTGTCCCTGGGTGACATCACTCCTGGGGCCCCAAATCCTGCACCAGGCTGCAAGCTGCACACAGCCCCTGCAAAGCTGCAGGAACCATCTTTCTGGTGTCCACGAACAGCTGCGGCTCCTGACTGCACCAGACTGTCCTGGAATCCCTCCCTGACTGCACACCCGCACCCCATCCTGGCCGGATGCTGCTGGGCCCTCACACTGTGCCCCACTGCCCACTGCACCGGCCACAAAGAAAGAATCATCCAGACAGAGCCGGGCCTTGGGCAGGCAACGCCAGGGGACAGGGACTGTGTGCTCCATAGAAGTGACTTTGAGAGCAATCCACGGTTTACAGATTTCCCCACAATGTACTGACCTTACCATGAATGTAACCACCATGCACTGATGAAATAACACAGCGAATTATAAGCAATAAGAGGAAATGAGGCCCTGATGGCAAAACCAAAATAGAGGGAAGTGAAGCGAAACTCTTCAGGGCCACGCGGCCCTCCAGCTGCCAGCCGGGGTGTGGCAGGTGAGGCGAGCCCGGGGAACCAAGCGGCAACCTCGGAAGCCAAGCGCATCTGCTGGGATCTCTGTGGCCAAGCTTGGGACAACAGCGATGTGAAATGTCGGAGCCCTTTGCTCTGTGCACAGCTGGGTGCAAACACACGGGGAGCTTTCTGGGCACTGGCTGCCCAACAACCCCAGAAGCAGCTCACTCAGCCTTGGGGGAGACAGCAAGCCCACACTCCCAATACCTGGCACAGAAAGTGAGCAACGACTCAGGCGAGTCTTCTGAGGCCACACTCTGCACACACTGCCTTGGTCCACTGCTCAGGGCCCTGACGCCTCTGTCCCAGCTTCCTTCCGGGTGCTGGGACCAGCTGAGCTTCACTGCACTAGGAGCCTGGGATGGAGGCTGGGGAGCTTCCCTCTGGGTGCTGGGACTGGCTGAGCTTCCCGTTTTATTTATTTATTTGGTACTGGGGATCGAACTCAGGTCCTTGCACTTTTGAGACAGGTGTTGGAACCACTGAGCTAAATCCCTGGCCAGGTGGATCAATTCTATAACCCGGGCTCCTAACTGCTGAGAGAGAGGGAGGGAGAGAGAGAAGAGACAGAGAAAAAGAGGCAGGACAGAGAGAGAGAGGGGGGCGGGGAGAGAGAGACACTACAAGTCATAATAAGCATTTTCTAAATGTATGAGTGGGCATGGAAATTCAGAGTATATCCTGATGATAACCAGGGAGATGACATTTCATGCCTTGTCCACACAATTCCAAATGACTATTTTGACTTTTTTTTAAATTTAAAAAAGTGACAGATTGCTTTTTACTTGCTTCACAGTTGTTGCTTTAAAGGGCTGTGTCTGTCCCTCTGGAAGGTGCGTTCTAGGATCCTAGTCCTGGAAAGCTGGTCCACAAGCCAAGCCACTTGCTTTAGAAGTGGGGAATGGGATAGAGAAAAGAGAACCTGCACTGCTGCTTGTGATGACTCCAGGAGCAGCTCCGGGGAGTGCATCCTTCTATGAAGGTCCCTCTTGTGGCGGGGGTGGGGGGGGGTGGGGTGGGGGGGTGTTCATCTATGCTCCAATTGTTCCTTCAATGAATTCTTATAGCTTGATAAAAATGCCTGACAAATGAAGGGCTGTTAATGGAAGCACTCATGGGGAGTTTCCTGAAAACAGTGAGGTTGCTTCTGCTCTTCCCACCAGGCTGCATGTCTGCTTCTTTCTTAGTCCCAGGTCGAGCTTCAGATGTCGCCTCCTTGAAAGAGCCTTCCCAGGCCAGCCTCCACTATGTAGCTCACCTCCCTCAGCTCTCCTGTCTCAGTGCTTCATGCCATCTGTCATATAGAGATCCTGTGCAGTTGTTCATCAATCACTGCCCTTACTATGGTAAGAAGCTTACCTGTGTTGTTCTCCCAACTGTAGGGAAAATCCCTGGCACACAGTAGGCACCTAGTCAATATTTTTTGAGCAAAAAAATGAATAAATAAATGAATGATATGACATTGATTTTTACCCAGGGAGAAAACCATCTGTAACTTTTTTATGAGACAGGGTCTTGCTATGTAGTTCAAGTTGGCCTTGTACTCATGGCTATCCTTCTGTCTTAGCCTCCCAAGTGCTAGGATTACAGGCGAGTGCCACCATACCCTGTCGAAAAACCTTCTGTGATTTTAAATGAGATGGAGCGAGGGGAATGATGGCCTGGATCCTGCAGGCCATACTGGCATGTCCAACAGGGATTAGCTAATCACCCCGTGTAGTTTCTAAATTACAACGTGTGCCCGGGAGATTTAATTTCTGTTAATTGGCAACAAGGAGGAGGAGTTGTTATGGAAATCACCGGTCAGCCGGAAGCTTGTCCATGTCAGACCTTCTTACGCGTCAGAATGGACATTTCGTAAATCGTGTCAATGCTGGTCCCCAGAGGGGCAACACCAGTGTGCTTGGCCGCTGCATTCTGGGGTGCAGACGCCCTGAGCATTAGACCTTGAGTAGAGGAGGTGGGTAGGTGGTAGGGATAACCAGAAAAGAAAAGACTGATGAGAGTTATGGCATTTTAAAATAATTGTCCTATCAGCTCAACTCTGGTACTGATTATCAGCTCTAGAGGTAACAAGAGCAAGGAAGTTTCTAGTCTTTCAGAGCTGGCCTCACTGCTTCTTAACTGTGACGATTTATCCTCTGAGCTTCAGTTTTTTGATCTATAAGGAGGGGACAATAACATTTAGCTCATGGGGTGTTGTGAGCATTAAATAAGAAAATGCACGTAAATACTAAGAGTAATAGTCAACCTCACAGAGAGTTTTCTGTATGCTGGGCACGTGCTAATGACTTTATGTCCATATCTTATTTACTCCCCCGACACCACACAAGGAAGGCACAGTTTATACCTGCGCTTTACAAGGGAGGAAGCTAAAGGTTGCATAGCCCAAATGACTTGCCCGCCCATGGTGACACAGTGAGCAAATGCAGCCTGGACTTGAATCCAAGTCACCACACTCCACTGTGCTCTTAAGCACCCTATGGCGGACCTGACTGAGCCCGAGGGATCAGCTCAGGACCTGGCGTTTAGCACATGTCTGGTAAATGGCAGCTAGTGATGCTCTGTTCTTATGTTAAACATTTCTCCTTCTCACCCTGCTTTCCAGCCTTTGTCATCCCTGCAAACTCCCCAGCAGCTACCATTTCCAGGCCCCTTTCTGCACTCCAGCGTCTCACTCAATCTTCTCAACCACCCTACAGAGTGCCTCGTGTTGTTTCCACCTTTAGGTGAGTAAAGAAGCCCCAGAAAGGTGAGTTAGGTTGCCCCAAGTTCAGACAGCCAAGAAGCAGTGGGGCCAGCAGCTGAACTTAGGGACACATGACTCGAGAGCCCTGGCACTTTACTGTCTACACCCTGATGACATTTCTCTGTGCTTCCCCTTTTCAGGACCTTTTCTCTGTGACGAAGATCTTCTAATGACTGAAACACTCTCTCATTGTTTCCTTCTCTCCCTTCTGCACAATAGAGCCTAGCTTGTTATTTTTGTATTTGAATTGTGCCTCCACATCCTTTTATTGCTAATGGTTA